TTTCCAAATCTTGTCTCAAGTAATTTTCCTCTTAACAGAAGATTTAAAATTGATCAAAATAAATTCAATTTGAAATAGAAATAATTACCGTCTATACTGCGTCTCTATTCTCCTACATGCTATTTCTCTCACATATCCCCCTACTCTAATTCCTCTGGAGTGAGGTTTTAATTTCAGGATTAGCCTCCATTTCCTACATAGTAGGAGGGGGCAGGGAGAGAACTGGAAGAAAACCTGAATTATATTGTAACACTGAAAGTTATCACATCATCAGCCTCTTCCGTGACACTAATTAACTTCATGTTTAATTTCATTGTCGCTGGTAACAACTCATTTAACGATTACAAAATATAAACTGATAGGGCAGTTTTCTCTTAATTCCCATTTCCACCCAGTGAGCTTTGTGTGAAGTCACATTCTACAATAACCTAGGAGCCTTCCATTTCTGTTAGTTCATTTCTCCCTGGGTCTTCTCCCAGAAGTGTGGGTGAAAGGGGTGTGACGAACTGGGCCTGTTCTCACTGTGGTCTGTGAATGCTGACAGGGGACTGGGGCTGGGATAGTCTGCATTGGAGGATGGGATCTGCCCGAGGGCGCATACCTGAGTGTGTAACATGAGAACCCAGGAAGGGGTTGAAGGCCAGGTGACTCCTGAGCCCGGGAAACTGAACAAAGGCTGTGGCAGGGGTCGCTGAGGGCAGAGTGCTGGAAGCGAGCTGGAGAGATGGCTGGGAGACAGAGATGGCTCTGACACCCCCCCCCCAAGGGGGGTGGGCTGGAATGCCCTGGGACCCCAAGCTGGACTTAACTGAGGGGGTCCTGTTGTCTGTGCCTGCAAGACCTGTCTTGGACTGTATTCCTGTCATCCAAATAAACCTTCTGCTTTACTGGATGGCTGAGAGTCATGGTGAATTGCAGGAAGCCGGGGGTGCAGGGCCCTGAGTCCCCCAATACTCCGTGACAACTGGTGGCAGCGGTGGGATCTACTGCACCCCGTGGACGGCGCTTCCTGCAGTAAGTGACTGGGGGGCAGTAAAACGAAGGGGGATTGACGGGGACCAGGCCTGCTGAAGAGTGGGAGAGAGACGGTTATTACCCC